CCTTAAATTGACAGTATAGGCACAACATAGTTGTTTTTCAGAGCAGAAGTGAATTGAGATAACAAAAAAAAAATCTACTGATTAATGTAACAATCAAAACTCTCTAGCCAGAAGCAGTTTTGATCAAATAACCATAGTGAAGACTTACAGATAAGAAATATGCACCAAATATTTTCACATCAGGAATCAACTACCATGATTTACTCAGACTATTTTCAACTGTGTTCTAGCATATGCTTTATGAACAAGTCACTCAGACACTTCACCGACTGTGATACTTTCATCTGAGATGCCCTTGGCCTGACAAGTTTCCACAGAGAAAGGAAAGTCTTTATTTTTAAGGTGCCACAGTTAGGCACACAGCAGTGTTGTTCTGTGTTCTTCCAACCGAGGGCACTGACATTCAATAAGCTGAATTAAAAAAAGAGTATGTCAATGAAAATGAATACACACATGCAGTTGGTGACGTGTCATATGAAGGAGATGTATGTCTAAGTTGGATTATCTGTGGGTCTCAGGATGTCAGATTTGTTGTTCTTCCTCACTGCACTACTCCACAACCTAAGGCAGAAAGCTTAGCTTTAATATGGAGAATTATCTATTTCAAATCTCCCTCCCCATTAGTCACCATACAAATGGAGACAGAAATCAACAGCTACTGGTGCTCCCAAAAATCTTGTACAAAAATAGATTGGCAAATCCTTTGAGCATTCTCAAAAATCTTGAAGAGTCTTCTGCAGACTCTTCTTTCATCTCTTGATTTCAATAGCAACAGTCGGTCCCCACTGCCAAGACTCACGTCTCGGTCATGATCAGAGACAAATGAAGCTCATACGCCCTTTCCTTGGAATTTCTGTTGGAAACCCTTTCCATTTACATACTCTTTGTTTCAATTAGTTTACATTTTTTCCTTTTTCATCCAAAAGAAATGCATTGGCAGTGCAAACAAAAAGTAGATATTGTGAAACACACCCACCCACCCCCATAACAGCAAGTGATCACCTCAGCATTTCCAAAGGGCCTCCTGAGGTGTTATCTGCACGCGCAAGATTCCACTGTCATGTTGGGGTACACCTTAAGAACCACGTTTTTATTTTCATCAAAGAATAAGATACTAAGAGATGACATTTTGTCAGGAACGCAGCAAGGCTCAGGAACGCCCGGGACAACACCGGGCTGAGGAATGCCCGGGACAACACCGACAGCTCTCACAATGCTCTGGATAGTAGCATGGTTGGATGGCTTCAAGGCCTGCAAGAGAAAGATGCAGCGTAAACTTAAATGCACACACATTAGAGATGACTCACATACGCTAGAGCAACACTGGTTTCATAAAGAAGGGCTCTGTGGAGACCCCACAGATGACTAGCTGTAACATCTGTCTCATACTCGACTGTTTCCAGTTGTCACTGTGTGGGGAACGGTCCATTTTCTCTTCCCCCCACATAAGAAAAACAAAATGCCTTTCAAGCCAGCAGAGCAAGCAAAGTGCCTTTTTGCTGATTTAGCCAAGGATGAACTGAGACGGACTCAGATAAGAGCATAACAAGAACTGGCAGAAAAACAGATAAAAGGCTAAAGGACTGCCTCTGATAGAGTATGCATCTGGCCAATGCCAATTGGCTAAGTCGAACAGTGACTGCTACCTAAAGAAAGCAAGCTAGCTTAGCAGGCCAGAGAGCTTCTGTGTCGGCCAGACCACTGTGATACCTGGAGCTGCCTGAGCTTGCCAACACCGCTGCCCGACGCCTGAGAGGAGAGAGGAGGAGGGAAGGGCCACCCGCAGTGTCCCTGGGTGGGATTGCTGCTTACCACAGCATG